GGGCGGGGCCCGCAGCCCTGGGCATTGGAATGGTGACATCGGGAAGGGACACTGGGCCCCAGGGAGCTGCCACAAGCAGCACACGTAGCCATGGGGTGAATGGCCGGAGCGGGAGGGGCTCCCCGGGGCACCCACGTAACGCCGTGGCCGGCACCCAGATTTCCCCGCCTGGACGGGTGCCCAGAGGAGGGTGGCAAAGGCTGAGGCGGAAGCCTTGGCTGGCACCAGGCCGAGGAAGGGCTGGTCCTCCCAGGAGCGGGGAGGTAAGAAGAGCTGGCAGGGCCATGGCATCCGGCGGCAGGGGCGGCGGGCTGGAGTTCAGGCTTCCAAGCCCACACGCAGGAAAGAAGCCAGCTCCGCTCCGGGGCCAGCTGGGGAGGCAGGCGGGGCCTTCCCCTCCAACAGCTCAGAGCGCACCCGCGGCCTCGGCCCCCTTACTGGCCGCTCACAAGCCCCACCCCTACCCTGTCCCCACAGCCACCCCCGTCTGCTGTCCCCCCGCATGAGGAGGTGCACTATGTCCAGGTGGACGAGGAGAAGACACAGGCCCTGCAGAAGACCGCGCAGGACTGGGCGCGCCTGCGGCAGGCCGCGGAGCCCTCCAGGGGCGCCGAGCTGTGACTCGGCCCCAGGCCAGGGAGGGCCAGGACGCCTCTCCTGAGCCGCCTCCCTGTCCCTCCCTCCTCCTCCCCATTGGCCGTGAGGGTCCTCCGCCCACGGCGCCCACCTGCGACTCACATTGTGGCCATGCCTCTGCTCACCCTACTAGGAGCCACTGCCCAAAGGCCCCCGTCTGGTCCTGCCCCTCGGGTCTGGGCTCTGAGACAGACCCGCACCTCTGGGTCTCGCCCCCCCAGTCCCAGAGACGACGAGTCATCCCGCTGACTCGGGCCCAGGACCGACAGGCCAAGGATGTGGACGTTTCCATCCCCGCTGTTTGTGGCAGGGAGAGGCAAGGCCACCGAAAGAGAAGAGTCGAGAAGGAAGGTCAGAGGTGGTCTTGGGAGGCAAAGGAATCGGGTCCCCAGAGAACAGTGGAAGCCTGCGGGGACCCGGCTTCCAGGCCAGGGCCACAGCGGGGCGAGTGTCGGGTGGGAGAGGCGGAAGGATAGC